TAATGTTTTTTCTAATCAAAAAGATCGAGAATTTTAATCCAAATCAAATAAGACCTTGTTTGTTAAAATCGGATGACAAACATCCGAGTTATCAATTTTTTATACATTCGGTTACACAATCTAATAGGACTACCATACTGCTCTGTAAAATATCAAATAATAAACAATATTGATAATTATAATTATTAAAAATCCAAACCCAGATTAAATAAACCGAACACGATATTACCTCAAACTTTAACCTCACCCATCTATAAAGTGAGATGTTAAGAGTACCATTTCTAATATAGTCGTTACTAAGTTGCATACCGCATAGTACATTGTCACCCTTAACAACATTTCTTATTATTTACCTTCGCGATTTTCAAAGATACGCTTTCAACTACAATAAATCATCCCGACCTGTCATGTTTCTCAGATCTTCCCAATAGGGAAAACATCCTTTTGTTGGGACAAATACGCGTAGCCATAATCCTAGTTGGGGTCAGGAACGCGTTTTTCCTCGTACAGAGCTTCTGCGAATTTTGGTGCTAAACAGTGGGTCTGTTTTGGAGGGAGTTACCGAGAAACATAATCCTCGACCGACTAAGAATGTTTACAATCCTTGCAAGCAGTTGAGTCCTTTGTCTAATCCAAGACCCAAACAAACTCAACAGTATTGGTATTTGCCTGGGCTTTGACCTGGTTTAAGTATGCAACAGACATTTTCTGATGAGTTGTTCTCCGTGTACTGTTATTGGAATACATCCTCATTCCCATTATCTCATACGGTTTCTAACTGTTGAATTGGATTATGTTTGATTTGATAATCTGTGACATGTATTAAATCTTCAAACAGTTGTCAATATTTTGATTAAATTCACATTCTTCCGGAAAGATTTCTAGACATTGCAATACATTACGACATTAATATAGGCGAAAATAGAATTTATTTTAGTTTCTTAATTCGTAAAGTTTGATTATCTTGCAACATATTTTCGTTGTTCAACATGTTTACCAATGAAGTGGAAAGCAAAGAGATAAATATTACAGCTATGTTTACTTTTTTAGTTGTAGACGAGGTAGGCCAGTGGGATGCTGAAGTAATGGTTGGCTCAATCATAGTACAACGTAAACAAAATACTAGGCTAGATAGAATGAAAATACTTTATTCAATATCAGTAAATAAAATTCACAATCTAAGGTATTCAAATTGGGAACTGTAAGGATGTGCAAATAAAAGAACAGTTTTAGCCGGATATTTTTAATTTGCAGATCGATTGATTAGTAGTTGATTTTCCCAAATAAACTATTTTTATGAATAAAGGTAGGATATTGAAATATGCAGGCGTGTTAATGGATTCAATCTAAAACAACTGTAGTAAAATACTTGGATAAATAGAGATTTCTTTAATTAATTATTAAATTTCGAAATATAGGAAAAAATTGAAATTATGTAAATCTTTCAGAAAATCACTTACTGTAAATGTTTCTGTTTTGGGGGAAAGTCTTACATCCTGGCAATCACTAATAAATTAATTATTAAATATATCACTTAAATATCGTGATTTTACTCGTACAGTATTTTTTTTATAAACAATTTATTTTAACATTGACAGTTCTAAAGGTATGCTATTGTAGACTATACGAATGTTTAGTGTGTTGAGAGGTTATATTATGAAACCCCTAATAAAACATTGTCTGTAAATAATTTAAATTTGAAACAAATGTCATAGTTCAAGCCAATATTAAAAAGTGTAATTACTTCTTTTACTTAAAATTCATTTTCATTGTGACACAACATTATATTTTGTTTAATCAACCTTGAACTTTATGTTAAAACATAATTACCATCATGCAACGCGAGTCTTATTAAATGAAACAATTAGAGTGACTCTGAGTAGTGGAGTGAGGAAGGAGACATATTTGCGTACATCTCTAGGCTCAATATAATTACCATACACTTTTAGACTGGAGGGACTCAGTTTTAATTGGACTTCACAACGCACCTTAACTATCCTCTTTTCGCCGTAAATAATGAGAATATTATTCTAATCGATTGGTAAACATTAATTTGTATTAGTGAATTAAAAAAAGTATAGTTAAGTTTATGTGCTCCCTAAGTAGTTTTATAAATTCGGAACCGGTGGTGAATAAAAACAGTATAATGTTAATATAAGTACATTGACAAATTCATGTTAATTCGTTTTTTGTAACATTTTTCTGGATATTAAAATATATAGCACGTTTGAGTTGAAATGTATTGTATGAAATGTATTTTAAATTATTGAATTACATTGTATTGCAGTTGTAGTTTGTTATATGTTTCCAAAGGTGTAAACAAAGACGAAGAAAACCATGTTCTTTGAGTGAATAAATCTATCTAATATATAAAATTCTCGTGTCACAGTGTTTGTCTGCAAACTCCTCCGGAACGACTTCACCGATCGTTATGAAATTTGGTGTGTAAATTCTGTAGGTATGCGAATCGGACGTAAACTATTTCCCGTTTCGAAATTCTTAAAAGGGCTCCGCCCCAGTGGCTCTGGAGTTTCCCATGTTAACCTTATGAGAAATGGAATTAATGAATCTTAACAGCTGTTTCAATTAAACAAGTTGGTTCTGTTCTATGATGTTCAATAGCATTAAAGTTACAAGGATTACCAACAGGGTGCAGCACTATTATTTCTTTTACATTTATGACAACAGCTAATTTGCAACCAAAAGGTGAGTGAGCGTAGCGAACGAACTTCAACCTGGAGGCGAGTTAGCGTAGCGAACGAGCTAACCTGAAGGCAAGTGAGCGCAGCGAACGAGCTCCAACCTAAAGGTGAGTGAGCGTAGCGAACGAGCTCCAACCCAAAGGTGAGTGAGCGTAGCGAACGAACTTCAACCAGGACGTGATTGAGCGATGCAAACGAGATCGTCTTGAAAATTAAACGTAACGGTACTTTCTTTCCATCGGTCTGTCTTAGGGGAAACCTATAACTTAGGCGATACGAAGTTCGTCGGGTCAGCTAGTAATTTCATAAAATCTTATCGTGGATACTATAGTTGTGCAGTATTAAAGGTGAAACGAATTCATACAAGTTCACAAAAATCAATATAAGTAATTTGTATAAATGTTTCATTTTTCCAAATTAATAGGCTAGTAGTTATGAATACTTTTATATTGTGCACAAGCTATCCCATAAAACCGTCCGTACAAATGATTATGAAAATGTTAACTGTGTGTATAAGTAATTGCAGCGTAATCGGGCAAACATAATTAATTGTTGAGCAAGTCACAACAATTTACAAATGGGATTCTAAACGTGATTCAAGCGTTATTATAAACTACAAATAAATTATGTTATTCTACACATACTTTCTTACCTGAATTAGCTTCATTAATAGTTAATGGAACATTAACAGGTATTCAACCTACCAATCTCGCCTTTGCTTATCATCGCGTCATGAATGTAAGTTAAAACAAAGGATCAGTGTAGCACGTCTGATTTCAAAATACAGGGTGATTCAAAAAGGACTTTACAACTTTGAAAATTCATATAAATCTTATTAAACAAGGTATAGAGCTGGTTTTGGTGTTGTTTTAAAGGAAAACACTTCAAGTTTTTTTACCTTAACCTAAAAATGTTCTATGTCTTCCGTTGGATTTGGGGAACATAATTATTTAGGTATGAAACAATAGTGAAAACCGTTAAAAAAGTGAGCGAAATTTACAAAATTTTGAAAGTAGGGCGTTTTTTGACGGTGAAGGAGTGCGATTTTCGAAAAACGCATAGTTAGTGTCTTGTAGGAAATTTATTTCCGAACCTACGTATTTCCTCAAATCTTTTCTAGCTCTTACCGTTTTCAAGCTATAGCCGTTTGAAAAAAATGTGTTTTTTCCTTTTTCAGAGGTCCGTAATTTTAGATTTTTTGGGGGGGTTAAAATTTGAAAATGCGACTTTTTGGAATTTTATGGGTGGTTTGGGACCAAGAACTACAATTTTGTAAATTTCTCTCAAATTTTTAACGGTTTTCACTATTTTTTCATACCTGAATAATTATTTTCCCCAAATCCAACGGAAGTCACATAGAACATCTTTAGTTTAAGGTAAAAAAACTTGAAGTGTTTTCCTTTAAAACAACACCAAAACCAGCTCTGTACCTTGTTTAATAAGATTTATATGAATTTTCAAAGTTGTAAAGTCCTTTTTGAATCACCCTGTACATTACCTAGACTGTGATGTAATAAAGTAAATAGAGGGCATGCAACATTTGTTTAGTGAAACGATTGTATAATGAAAAACATAAACACCCCATTGGCAATAAAAATAAGTTTTTTTCAGCAAATATATTGAACAAATATAATTTGAGTAATTCTTATTGAAATTATTTTGTCAGTTCGTTGTCTGTAGGCCTACTTTATAATACATTTTACAATTTTTTTTGTATTTTTTCATCATAGGGCAAGGAAATGTTCATACAGTAATCAAATAATTTTATTTGGGAAAATATTCTTTAAAGTTTTGTCAATTCGCTAGTAAATTGGTAACACAAAAAAATATTTGAATGCAATTTTAAACCGCCCTTCTTTCAAAATCCACCCAAAATCAACTGACCTTAAAACAAATTTAATTTGAAACAACCGTGTTCACCAGAAACTGCCTTCAAAATCGCCCAATATTAAAACCTGTTCAAATTCCTAGAAAAACACTTAGCCCCAACAATACGGACCGAAACAGCAATTCCTTTGTGTAAATTGATAGAAAAACCGAAATCGATTACGTCCCTTCAAACTGTCTTTATTATGGTGATTTGAAGTCTGAGACTTTGGAGCGAAGATTCAGAGATAGGAATGCTCTTGGTCAGGTAGAGACACTATCAGGTGTTTTGGGCCCTCCCCCTTCCCCCTCCATTCCTGATACATTTCTGGCAGTTTTACGCTTCCAGTTTCCAGTTATCTAGTTACTACGGTCGAGTCGAGGTCGAGTCACTGTCACTCTCTAGTCAAAGTCAAGTTAGGTTAGTTAGTGGAGCGCGTCGCGTTGTGTTGTGTTAGTTTTATGATTTGTGTGAATGTGTATTTCTACTAGTCATGACTGCTTACGACCACGGATTGGCTCTCAAGTTGTGGAACTACAATCAGATGTCGAAGAATGTGCACAGTGATACGGTATGTTTACATTTGTAGGTTAGGTTTTACATGTTTTGTTTTTAGGGTGAAAAAGTGAGTGGAACTGTTTCAAAGGGTAGATTCATGTTTAATTTTTTAGAGCGGACTCCAAGTCTTAAAAATTAAGGAAAAAATAAATTAAAATATCGACGTATATTTGTAGAATTCTTCTGGGCAATGGTTTTTAATTGATCGTATGAATAGATCATTTTGTTTTGCGGCCATAACTAGTTAATGTTTAGATATGCAACGCTAAATACCAGTAAAAGAGTAGGCTCTTTTGTACATTAACGTTTTTAGGTTATGTCTCAGATAGTTTGCAATGTATTGGTTGTTTGGACGTTGGTACGAATAAATGTTAACTCATTCGTTTTTTTTTTATTCAAGAACGGATCACGGGTTTTTATACTACATAATATTAAGCAAAACAGACTAGTTTGATAAAATAGCACCTAGACTAATTGGTTTGTGACGGTAAATAAATGATTGAACACATTTGAAGCTCTGTAAATATTGAACCAAAGTAGCCATCCGCATGCTACAACAATTATGTTTTTATTAATAAGGTAGAGCTTAGATTAGTCTATTTTTTACCCTTGTGTTTTTGGCGCTAACATTTTTCTATTATTTTCAATTCATCCAAGTTAAAAGTTATTTAATTATGCGTGTAACTTGGATAACTTTGTACATTTTAAGTTGATTCAAAATACAGTCAGAATTATTAATGCATACATTGAATAGTTTCGGTAGGTATAGTCATATTGGTTAAAATTTATATTAAGGCATGTTTATTTCAAGTTAAATGACTGGCTTTTGGAAGGTAAATCCTGATACTTGCGCCGTGGTGCACGTTTGGAAGTGAAAATTCAGTAAAAGTACGGTAGGTATATCAGCAGTTAAGGCCTACTATAAAACCACGGACTCCTGTAAATTTAGACCAACCCGTGTAACTATTAGATCTACTCATCGCTAATTATAATAAGTGCCGTATTTGGTAAAAGGAGAAAGACTCGGTTGCATTAATTTTAATTTTTTAGCACGCGCAAAGCATGCTTGAACACTACCCTGGTCACGTCATTGCCCACTGCACCAGACAAGAAACAAGCTTCTAACAAGTTCAGGGATTATTTTACAAACTGCCGAGATAAATTAGGATTGTAGGAGGGGCATTTTTAAAGAATAAACTTATGGTGGGTTCAGATTTCAAGATACAAGTTACGGGTGGATATAGCATACTCTTGTGTATGTTGTATTGTAAACTGCGGTGTACTAATTGTCCCTGTTGAACAATATGGCACAACCTTTCACTTATGATAAAACAGGTGTAATGCGCATTGCCCCAAACTATGAAATAGAAAAAATCATAAAAGTTAGCAACCAATAAACAACAGACAACACGGTGCTAGCAAGAGCAAGCTGACGATTTCAATTTTTTGCTGGGAAGTCGCAGTTAAAGTAGAGTCAAGATAAACAAAATTGAAAACACTTTGGTGTTTGCTGGTACCTATACACCGAATTCAATCTAATTCGGCTCAAAGTTGTAGTCTGTAGGTCTGCTGCTCTGCACGCGTCCACACTCACCCAGACACCCACATTGATTTTAAAACCCTTTCGGGTTCAGGGGGCCCAGAACACAAGCTCGAAAATTTAAGTCTTGTCTGGCTAAAGGGCAGTTTCATGTACAAACCCCAATTTTACACCAGTATGGTCAGTAGCGACCTACGCACAGACATGATTCATACAGACATTGGTTGTAACTTTTCCAAACCCATCTTTCACTCAGGTGATGTGTATAGTATATTCGGTGTATTTTATCGCAAACTTCTTGTCGCAAATACGCTGATCTCTCAACCGGCCCAAAAGCTTGAACAGTTCGGCTCCATTCGCAGGATCTCTATCCCCCGTGGCTCGGGGCCGCTTGTCCGTGTGAAGGTTATACAAGGTCATCGTCGCCCCCTCCACCGCGTAGAGCGTACTACGCGCCGCCGGCTACTCTACACTCTACGAGCGCTACCGACATTTGTAGCGTAGTAAACGTACTCTAGCCACTGTGTAATGATGTAGATATGAACCACGGGTATAGAGTTAATTCTATTTTCATGTGGGTACAATGTCTCATATATTTTGGTAATGACTGTTTTACAACAGGTCGTTGGATGAAACGTATGTTCAAGACTAACATATCATCCAAGGGCTCAATTAGTTCATGGAAACTGTATGAGTAGAGAAAACAATACAGAAAGTTGTCTTGAGATATGTAGTTAGCGAATGTTTTTGAACTTTGTCGTTCTATGAATCACGCTTATTTTTCTCTTGTAGGGTTTGTTTGATTGGAATCAATGTTTGGATTAAATCCAAACTGATTAAATCCAAAATGAATTCAACTGGGTATCAAAATTTAATTTTGATACCCAGTTGAATTCATCGTAGGGACTTTAGATGAATGATTCTATAAACAAGGCCGTTCGAGCTTATGACAACAAGTCTATTTTGTCTTTGATTAAGCTCATGCCTGATCCAATTCTGTTGGGAATAGTTTTCCGCCGTTTTACGTGGTGTCGGTACTTTTTGCCCTGGTGAAATAAAATCGGGCTTGGTGACTTTATTTTCACATCTGTTTTGACGAGCCTGAAATAATCCTTAACATTATTTTGTCCTTCTTGTTTCCACCTCCAGTTAAGATCGGTGTTATCTAAACCTCAGTGCCGGATTTAGGGTACTTGCGGCCCTAGGCCAAATTACTTGAGCGGCCCTCCCTCTGTGGTGGAAATTCCTTGCGATCGCGGAAGTAATAGTGAATATCTCCTATGCATCAAGGAGATATCATCATCAACACCCGTGATCGTGGATGAAATCGTAGACATCTTTCTTAAACCAAGTCAAAGCCATCATAGGTATCCGTGACCGCGGCAAAATCGTAAACATCCCCCGTGGGCTGCAACAAAGGGACATCATCCTCAGCACTCGCAACCGCGGCGAAATCGTCATCATATTCTGTGAGCTTTGACCTTGAGGACATCATTACCGTCACCCGCAACCGCAGTAAAATCGTGAACATCTCCCGCGGTCCGCAATCACGGGGACATCATCATCGACACTCGCGACCATGGCAAAATCGTAAACACCACCCGCGAAGCAGCAGTCACGGGGACATCATCATCATATTCTGTGAGCTTTGACCTTGAGGACATCATTACCGTCACCCGCAACCGCAGTAAAATCGTGAACATCTCCCGCGGTCCGCAATCACGGGGACATCATCATGGACACTCGCGACCATGGCAAAATCGTAAACACCACCCGCGAAGCAGCAGTCACGGGGACATCATCATCGACACTTACGAATGCGGCAAAGTCGTATTGAAAACATCTCTTGAAAACTGAGATCATGAGGACATCATCATTGTTACCCGCGGCCGTGCCAAAACGTAAACATCCCACTCGGGATTGACACCTTTAGCCGCGGCGAAATCGTTAACATCTCCCGTGAGCCGCAATCACGGGGACATCATCATCAACGTTTAAAGTTTCTGTATCCATGATTTAAATTTTGTTTTGTTGTATATTGATGTAATTGTTAAAATATATGTGTTATATTTATGATAGGTTAAGTGTAAGAAAGGTCCACGTGGCCCTAACTTTTACAATAAATAATAATAATAAATCTTTATTGTCGTTTAGTAATATAAACATTACAATAGACAAGGTCAACATGTTTTGTTACATATGTTATATAAAATATTAAATATTCTACAGAAAATGTTAAATAAAGTTAAAAGAATCGACACTCGTGACAGCGGCTAATTCTTGAACGTCTCCCGCGGTCTTCGATCATGAGGACACATTACCGTCACCCTCGGCCACGGCTAAATCGTGAAAGTCTCCCGCGGGCCGCAATCACGGGGAAATCATCATTGACAACTCGCGACAGCGGCTAATTCTTGAACGTCTCCCGTAGGCTGCGATCATGAGGACACATCACCGTCACCCGCGGCCCGTGAACGTTTCCCGCGGGCCGCAATCACGGGGAAATCATCATTGACAACTCGCGACAGCGGCTAATTCTTGAACGTCTCCCGTGGGCTGCGATCATGAGGACACATCACCGTCACCCGCGGCCCGTGAACGTTTCCCGCGGGCTGCAATCACTGGGACATCATCACCGTCACCCGCGGCCACGGCAAAATTGTGATCATCTCCCTCGGTCCGCGGAGACATCATTATGGTCACCTGTGATTGCGGCAAATTAGTGGTTTAAATTAAATAATTTTTTTTATGAAAAAAATGTTTTTCTCAATCCTCTGCGGCCCCTTTTTGCTTGCGGCCCTAGGCCGGGGCCTAATCGGCCTAGTGGTAAATCCGGCACTGCTAAACCTTGATCTTGTTACTAACGTCACTTAGGCAGAATTAATTACAGTTATTCGGGGAGCAAAATCGTTTAGTGGTAGAGTGCGGGCCTTCGGTCTACGGAGTCCCAGATTCAAGTCCTGCCATGTCACCGATGACATTTTAAGAGTCCGCAACCTTTAGGTCTGGAGTGCTGTGGAAAACTCTAGCCTTATAAACATATTATCAATATGAGTCATACTTGTTTATTCGTTTGATTCAATGCAGTTTTGGAAAGTTACGAATTTCGGACACGCGCTTCTCGTTGCCCATTGGCCGATGCCAGTGATGACGTCACCGACCGCTAACTAGTTGTTGGAAGTGATAAGTGCAGTTCCACGAAACGCCGCCATAGCCGCGACGTGACCACTCCGTACGTGAACTAACTGCACATTACACGTACAATGTACACGGTACATGTCACTGTGTCGTGATCATACTTGATAGGCTTTGCCGAAGTGCGATTTCTCGTCGTGAGTGCTTTGTATTTTAGATTTAGTTATGTTGTCAGTTTTAATGATAGATTTCTACTATTTCGTCAGAACTAGGATTTTTAGGACAACGATGACTGAATATTGGTTTACATTTTTAACGCCACAATACAGCATAATTTG